AAATTTAAACAAATAATTTTTAAATTTTCAAAATAACATTAGATTGAGAAATAAATGATTGAATTTAGTAAATAATTTATAATTTAGAAAGTTAAAAATGAAAATATTATAAAACTGAAAATTGAAAATAACGTGAAATTATCCATTCGGTTTGAATGAATAATTCAATTTAATAAATAATTTTCAATTTTGAAAATGAAACAAAATTGGTGGGATAAATAAATGCAGTGAAGTGTAAAATTTTAAAATTTTTCGAAAAAATAAAAGAAAAAAAAAAGGAACAAGAACATTTGTTTTTCAACTTAATAGCACAAGTAGTGATAATATGATAATATTTCATCGCTTTTTCATCTGTTAAATTTATCAAATGTCTTTTTTTTATTATCAAAAAAAAAATATTGAAAAAAAAACGGAAGAAAGTTAAAATGACAGTTTTTGGTGATAAATATAATTAAACTTTTTTTTAAGCTAAATTTTAATTTAAAATTGAATTGAATAAAATAAAAAAATTTGATAATGTAATACGATATCATTATCATCTGTTAATAATTACGAATATTAATATCATCCAGATGGATGATTTCTTATTAAATTATCAATATATTTTATAAATGTTGTCCAGAGGGATATAAATTAATTATTGCAACAGATTTAATCAATAGATTTTATGACAGGTATAATGATGGGTGTATGTATATATGTGTGTGTGTGTATGTGTGTGTGTGTGTGCGTGTATGTGTATGTGTATGTGTGTGTGTGTGTATGTGCATGTGTGTGTGTGTGTATATGTATGTTTTCTGACAAGAATATTTTTCTTAAAATAATCTTGAAAAGTGTCATCATATCTGAAATGTTATCATATCTGGATTATGTCAGATTTCAAAAATCATAAATTATTAGGAAAAAAAAAATGCTAAATGAAAGGATGGCATGAAATGAAAGCAAAATTCATTAATTAATTATTTAAAAAATTCAATGTCATATTTATTTAAGGTTATGTTAAAAAAAATTTTCAAAAATATTCAAAAATATTTGCATTGATTAAATTAAAGTATTTGTTTAAATTTATCAAAAATTATTTGATAAACAAATTGATTAATTTAAAGATTTGCAATAAATTTAAATTTTATCATCTCTTTACATCTTTTACTTAACGACAAGAAAAGGTATAAAAATTTTTGCACAATTTTAATTGTGAAACAGGAAATTTAACAATCTAACATTTCGTATTGCTAAAATATGAGAAATTTTAAGCATTCTGTAAAGGTATCAATGACCAGAAATCAGGTATGCTAAAGTCTGAGGAGAAATCCACAGGTGCTTATTTCAACATCTTTTGAGCAGTTGTGTTTGTCAAAAATATTATATTATGTTTGTCAGAAATATCGTCATCATCATCATCATCCTTGTCATAAATTAAATTTTTATTTGGAATGCTGAATTGTATCATATATACAAGCATAAACTAATCAAATTGCATACAAACACATTTGCAAACACACACGTATTTTATGATACATAATATTTAAAATTTAACAAATTCCACAGAAAAAATTATTATTATTATTATTATTATTATTATTATTATT